AGTGGGAAGGGGTACCCTGGTGCAGGCTCCCTGTCCCAGCATCGCTGCCCAGCTCAGCACAGTCCCCCTCAGAGGGCACTTTTGTCTCCTGACAGACTTGGTTGTGTTGTTAATGTCCCAGCATTCCCATGCAAACAGCAATTAAAACCCACATGGTAATGGAAAGTAATAACCCTAACTGAAATAAACAGCGGGAGCACTAGATTTTGAAATAATGYGCTTTATAGGCTACAGCCATGACCACTAAAGAAAACCTGTTGGTGTATCCAAGGATTCAAAGTCCTGTTTCTAGATTCTGTCTCAGGCAGTATGTGTCGCTTTTGTAACACACACAACTATTTAATGCTTAACCCAGATCATTAGAACAGCTTCATCATGGTTATTTTTTGGAAGCTCAGAGCAATTTTGAGAATGACCCACTGCGATATGATAAAAAGAAATCAGAGAATTTCTTGGGAATTTTATGGAAACATTCTTTCCAGTGATAGAACCTCTATTTTTGTGCTGAGGGGAAACCCTCAATAGCTGAGCTAATCTTTTCTGGTATGCACATTTCTGGCTAGAGCCAGCTGTGTACAGATACCTTCTAACTTTAGAAATGGAGCTGTGTCTTTATGCTGAGCCTTCAAGAAAAGACTTAGTCAAAAAAAGCAGGGGTAAGATTTTTGTGGTACTGAAACAGTTTGTTCTGAAAGCACTTTTTATTAATTTGTTCTCAATAAGTTGGATCCATCTACCCCCTGCAGGCCTGAAATAGGTTTATTTGCTCATTTTATTTATTTAGGCCTGGTGCTGTTGGGAATAGGAGAAGGTGATGGCCCTCTAAAAGTAAACCTAACCAGCATTTGTACTTCATAAATTTTAAGGCCAAGAGATAAAAGGCATTCTACTCATGTGGACTTTTCAGAGACAGAGYGTTTTCTTTACTTACTCAATTCTTACTCTGAGTCCAATATCTTTAGCTGAATTTAGACTTCTTAAAGTAAAAATAAGAAGTCTACTTTAAACTAAATTTTTCTTTGAAATACGCAACCAGAACTGTCAGACTATGGTAATGATTAATTATCCTTAATGATGATAATTACCCTACTTCTGATCTAAATGTGTGTGTCTCCATTTGTAATTGAGTAAATGCCTGAGTTATTCACAAACTGTATCAGTATCACCCTGTTTGGGGGGGAGGGGGGGGAGGTCACTGTTAAAAACCACATTCTTCCAGCAGTGACTTTGCAGTTATAATTAGATTTTGAGACATATCAGTTCTCTGGATTTAACTCAGTTTATGTGTGCCACACATACTCTSTGTTTAGCTTTATAGTTTCATAACCCCAACATCACGTGGAATTAAGCTGGATGTCATATCAAAGTCTAAAGTTATCACACCAGCACCAAYACATCTATATACAAAATTAGTAATCCCTCAGAAAATATCTAGTTARTTTGACAAGCTGTGTCCTCCTAAATCTGTGCTGTTTAGCATCATTTATTTATTTTATTATTTTATTAAYTGAATGACATTTTCTCATTATTTTTGCAGGAGTTCTGTCAGGATATCAGGCTGTGATTACTTAGCTCACCCTGCTTATCTTCTTTAAAATGTCATCACTTTCCTACCACTTTCCACTCAGTGGTGTTTTCAATGTGCAGAATGACACTTCAAGGTTTAGCAGAAAAAGCAAATTTTCCTGGAGTTGTTTTGTACTGTGAAAATAATTTTCTCCATTCAGCTAATTTTGAGAGCAGTGAAGAACAGCCATGAATGAGTCAAACCAAGAAGCAATCATGCTCTGAGCAGCTGAAGCTGCTCACATGAGACCGTGATGGATGCCAAGGGAGCACCCACTGTGGCCAATCCTCAGCTCTCAGTAGCCCAGTGGTGATGATAAAGGGACTTCAGGCTCCCAGGGATGCCCTCCACTCCCCAGACACATCTCTGCAAGTGACAGCAGTACATGTATTGCTGTTTCTTTACTCAAGGGAAAGGGCATAATTTGGGTTTGAAGCTCTACAGCAGCTTTTGGGGTTTTATAATGTGTTTGAAAGAGGTGGCACAAAAAAGGAGCAGCCAGGAGAATTGTTTCCTRCGCTTCATCAAAGATTTGGTGAGACAGTGAAACAACTGGACATTGACACTGTTACAGGTGATGTGGAATATCTGCTCTGTGTTTTGTGATGATTTTGGTGTCTCCTTAGAGGAGGGTTTGTGACCCGCATCTCTGCTATTTCAGGGCGCGCCTGAGAAATGCGTTGTTACTCCTTGCAAAGTGGCACAGTTGCAGGAGGGTGCTGCAGGTGCCCTCACCCGGGATAATTTCTCATCACTGAGGGCTCACTGACACCTGCAGCCTCAGCCCTTCCCAGGCACGCACTTTTCCCCTACACTGGGGATGATAAGCAGGGATCTGGGAGTCAAACTCAGGATGGGGAGCCTCCCCAGCCCCAGGGTGTGCCAGGGAAAAGCTGTGAGCCCCAGGCAATGGGAACTGGGATATCAAYACCTCCCCAGCATCAGCTCAGTGTGGGATTCACTAAGAGGCTCCTCCCTGAAGACGTGGTGCTTCCCAGGCATCTTGCTGGCTCTTTGGGAAGCTCCCCTCTCAGCTGACATTTCTGGCTGCACACAGAGAAGTCATCCATGCAGGCAAGGCTCAGCCTTCCCATCCTCATAAGGGGATTAAATGCCATTCTGCTCTTCCTCAGAGGATAATTGTGAGGAGAAATGCATTCTATGTCCAGAAATTCCAGGGTATTGGAATTTGGACATTGGAATTCCAGGGTATTGGAATTTGGAGGGCTGTGGGAAAGGCAGAAAAGCACATGTAACTGGGAGCTTATTTAAAAAGGGAAAATAAGACTACCTAGTACTGCATCAATAAGGAGTAGAAATAGAAAATAAGTTTTAGGGTTGTATGAAACCATGAGCCACTAAGAAACAGGCTTTGGTAGCTTCCAGTGTGATGTCTTGTGCTTCTTTCTGAGTGCCCAGTCTAGACTGGTGGGGAAAGGAACTAAGCCATGTGGATTAGGAGTCACCTCCACATTAGCAATTCTTATTTTCCTGTCATTAATGATTGCATGTAGCCTGTCAGGAGTAATGTTTACTGTTCAATGCCACATATATCTGTTTATTCTCCATGTGAAAATACTGTGATAAACCATCGAGGAATACATGGTGTACACACATGTGACAAGCCTGACTTTATACCCTGTCTCTGCCATTTGTCTCATTAATTGCACTGAGGAGCAGCCTCATCTCACCACCATTTTGCTTTATGACTAGTTTGATTGGTCCTGCCTTTGAAGAAGAACAAAGGCTTCTCCCATCTGCTGTGATCTCATCAAATTTTACAGGGCACCTGCTGAYTGGTGTTTTTCCTTTGACTTCACTGCAACCTTTTGTGTTTTTCAGGACAGTACCAGGAGGATAGAGTTGGCCTTGACACTGCTYGCTCCTTCATGCAAATATTTTGTCATCTTTGAAATACATTCTATTATGAAATCTACAACATTGAAAACTTTCAGAGAATATTAAAATAATTGGATTTATCAAAACACCATAAATAGTTCCATCACCCACTGAAAATGGACTTCTGCAACTGACATAGTAATAAAGCAGAAATTCAGTTGCTGGGGCAGTCTAGGAGTGAGCATAGCCAAAGGAGGAGCTGGGAACCACTAAGCTGTTGGCTTTATTGATTTTGTTGATTCTTATAGTTCTTTACCAAGTCTTTTCCTAAAGTGTTCCTGCAGATTCCTTGGGGTGAATGTTGCCAGTTCCTCTATACATCTTGCAATTGGAAAAAAGACATTTTCTCAGTAAATGTGCAAGTGACTATTTAATCAATTGATTGTTAATCTAAAGGTATGTGTATGCCTTTTCCTAATCAACACAGGAGATGTCAGATCACAATAAATGATACTGGACTGATGACATATTTTACTTGTGCAGCTCTGTGATGTGTATAACTGGAAGTTCAGACTATCAAAGTAAACAATTAGACTCAAAAAATAGCCTTCTGCTATACTTCATTCTCTCACTTACTTAGCTGACAATGTAGATTTAGACAGTCCCATCAACTGAGTCGTTATTAAATGTCACTTTAGGTGACCAAAATTCTCGTGGAATTTTCGTGGCTGCAGAGGCTGCATTCAGGCTCTCTCGCCCCTCTGCAATACGCTGCTACTGCTCGTGGCATTGGTTGTTACTCAGCATCCTTCAGGAAACATGTCCCCTCAAAGCATGGGGAAAGGAACATAGCCCTGAAGGAAAATATTATAACTAAATGTCACCAGATGTAAAATATTTCTTGTTTTGAGTAATACTTAAATAGACAATTCTATCCCTAAATGTAATAAGAAAAAACCAATCATGATAGCTTATATTTCAACGAGTTACCATTTCTTAATGTTATCATTTCTTGACTGTTTGACTTAGAATTCAAAGGTAGTGAAATGGAAATGAAGCTTGCCAATTATAGTACTCCAAAAGCAATTAATAAATGTAAGAGAAATCCTATTCTTTTAAAACAAATCCCCCTTCCTCACTCCATGGTCACAGTACTTTTAGCTACAATATGGATTGGTAGGCAATGCTTTAGCTCCCAACAAACTTCCCCTAACAGGGTTTGAAAACGTGCTCTTACCAGCATCATATCTCTCTCTAAAATTAAATCCGGTGCAGCTGGAGGTGGCAAATGCAGAGGAAGATGTTCCCCATGGGTAGCAGAGCTGAGCCTTTCTCCTTTGTGCTGAGTACCAGGCTGTAGACAACACTGACACAGAGATCTTGGTCATCTGGGGACCATGACAAGAAATAGCTAGTACTAATAAGAGGAATTGATTGCTTGGGGAATAAAAGAAACAGGTCCTAAATGTGAAATAACATCCTTGCATGTATCTGTGGTCCTAGTAGAGTGCTACTGCGTGAGTGACTGAAGCTTTTGTGATTATACCCTGTTGATTTGGGAGAACTCATGTATTTTTCCACTCTCTTTTTACAGCTCCCAAGTCTACCTTTTGTCCCACTGAAGAGACCTGGTGGCCAGGCCTGGTTATTATCATTGCAGTATGCTGCGCCACACTAGTGTTCCTCTTTGTAGTTGTCATCATTTGCTACAAAGCCATAAAAAGGTAAGACTCCAGATGCTTTTACTGTGCTTAGGGCACACYCCACAGAGGCTGACCTGACTTGTCTCATGACATCTTGTTTAGTTTAAAGGCATCCAAAAGGCAAAATGCATCCTGTCGCCAAGTGCATTTTCCTTGGAAAGTTGCTTTATGTACCATATCCTGCCTGTGTAAAGGGTGCAGTTCAATACAATCATGGGCATGAGGAGCAGAAAACTAGAAATGAGATAGAAATGAGATAAAGCTAATAAGAACTTGCCCAGGGTGAAATTGCTGCAGGTTGCTGGGGAATGTGGAGAGCTTGGCCAAGTGTAGAGGTAGGAAACACTGTCCTGTCCACTTCTGGCAGTGTTCACAATTTACATGTGGGATGTGAGATTCTTGGCCCAGGCCCACTACTGATTTTAGCATTTCAAATTAATGCAAACCCTTCTAACTCAAAGTCTAGGGTAATATGCATAGTTTTTCATCTGGAGACAGTACCTCTGATTTATTCTTGCTTGAAAATTATAACCTACAGAAGAAAATTGAAAGCGTTTCTCTTTTAATGTAAAAGCCTCTGTGAAGCCTATGTACAACAGTGTGGAGCAGCCTTTTCAGCTCACTGTCTTTGCAATAGCTGCACTCACCTAGGCCTTGACTTATTAGGAAGTATTGACTTCAGTTACACAGAAAATATGAGTGAAAATAATTTATTCATTTAAATAACATTTCATATGTGGAAAAGGTGGTGGAAAAGGTCAAAACTTTCACATTTCTATATGAAGACTCCAAATGCAAGTCCAGAGGATTGATTCTGAAGAGAAAATAACTTGTGGGAATTATAGACCAGATGGATGAATGTTCATTTCTCCTCTATTGTGTTTAGTATGGCTTTGACACCTCACAGTTGTGTGTTCATGGTGTCACTGTTTATACTGTGAGGGTCTTGGCTGGGAGCTGTTAGTGTATCCAGGTGACCCAGCCTGCAGTAGAAAATGCAGTGTTCCCATCCATAGCTCTCAAGAGATGCTGCAGTGGCATCTGTATCTCAGCTTATATTAAATGGTTGAAAAATTGAATTTTTCAATTTCAATGATTTCTGAGTGATAATATTTTGGAGTGAGGGAGAAGGGAAAATAAGTGAAAATGTTTTTAATGAAAWATGTTTTCTGCATGCAGAGTGATTGCAAGATTTTTTTTAAGCCTCAGTGGGATATCGCAGTGGTAGTGCACTGGATATGTTTTGTGRTTGCTGAAAAATTTATGAAAGAGCATCAAAAATGGAGAATTCCAGCAAGAAGAAAAATTCTCTATTTTATTTCTTATTAAATTTACATAAGTATCTTTGCTATTCTAGTTTAGCCAAAATCTATGTTTATTATTTTGGGGAAGCTGGAAGGCTTTCACTCTGGCAACTGCACTTTAAAAAATTATCTCGGGGGACTGAGATTGGAGTCCAATTGAACTGGTAGCACAGTGCAAAATCTCTCACTTGTAGTTGCTGATCTACTATTACTGTTCATTTGTATTTGTTTGCCTAATGCCAAATTATGAATGATTTGTGTCAAGGATGCAAAATATATTTATGGGAGCAGGAACTCTCCAGGGAAACTTGTGCCTCATGAGGAATTGTTTTTCAAATCTGTTGTGATGCTGGTAGATGGGAGGAATGGATGGGAGGAACAGAAATTAAATTTAAAGAGACAAATTTAACACTGCCTTGCAAAGACTTGGGGAATTTACCTGCAGTCTCCTGCTTTGTGCCAGTGAAGAATAATACTGATACTTGATGAAAACACTCATTATTTGTCAACAGCATGAACATCAACCTACAAGTCAGCTGCTTGAACAGGCATTAGGCTCAGAGAAGAGTGAAAATTCCTCTTAGATCTTCTTATTTTGACATTCACACTGCTGACAAATGCTAAGCTGAAAACTGCTCGGATGTAGGATGGACAGCTATGAAAGAAAATCTTATTAGTTATMATTTTACAGGGGAACTAGAGCATTTCTTTTCATCAATGAGTCCATCCTAAAACAGCTCTGCTAAAAGAATGCCCTAAAGGACCTGGCAGCACTCCCCAGTAGTTCAGGTTTCTTGATCCACTGTAAAAGATATCTATCAATAAATGCTGGGAAATAAGATCAGACACTTCACAAGAAAAGCTTCTCTGCCTTCAACACAGTATTATCACATATTGTTGAGCTGAATTGGCTTTAGCTAGTGTGAGAAATACTTCACTCTGTGTTTTGCTGGAAGGCAGAAGTGACTAGAGAGGAAGTAAGGAGATTAATCTGTGASATGCTGAAGCCAAGAGTTCCTCCAGTGTGTTCCCAGCTTAGGGCTCCATAGCCATGCTCTGCTCCATCCTTTCTCACACCCTCATCCCACCAGCTCTCCTCTGCACTCCTCCTGGCCCTCCTTCCTGCACATCTCCTGGAACTGGGACTCCTGTCACTGCGGCATCTCTGACAAATCTCGTACCCTCACTGAAGAGATGCTGAAGAGTGGAGTAACAGCAGTCATCTGGTTGTAGGGTGTAACAAGGGTTAAATGCTTTAGTAAGAAAGTAGCAGGCAGGGATTTATTTGCCTTGAGTCTGGATCTGTTGTATTAATCCCTCACTTTCATAAGAATCAAATTTGAAGTAAAAAGAAAAAGAAAGATCCTATTGTGCTTAAGTTGAAATCTCATTTACTGGTTTCAAAGGGCCAGACCCAGTCCAACTCTCTTATGTCTGCTTTCTGTAGCAGGAAGAGAGGTAGTAACTATTCTCGAGGTGTCATAACTCAACTGTATTTTTATTCAATCTGTGTATAAGCTGTGTCTCCTCGGGTAGCTTGTTTTCCCTCATAAAAGCTAAAACTTCAGCATATCACTAGTTTTAGGCTCTAAGGTGATTTGTAATAAAACACAACCTTGTAGATTTGTGTTTCTTTATGTGTAATAACTACCTGAACCAAGCAAGTACGCTACTACCTCCATCCCTGAATCTACCTTGGAAATACTCCGATTCTTCCAATATGAAGCGGTCATAMGAAATGCTGAAATCCATTCCAATGAATGGGTTTGATCTCTCTGATCCATGAGGGAACATTTACCAAATTGCATCCATCAGCTTTTACACTCAGAAGGGTTGAACTCTTGGGAAGATACATACGGAKTGATACTTCAAAGGTGGTTCAGGCAAATTCTAAATTTCCTCTGTGTGTTCTGCTGGTGACTGCAGCCCTGGACACTGCATGACTGGCACACCARAGACAGGTGTGTGCTGCTGCATAGATCAAGCACCAGAGGAAACTACATGTGATATTATGTGCTGCAGCATGGTTATGTGATGACAGCACTCTCAGTTTGGCAGTGGAGAAATACCTATTTTCTATGGTCTTGGTGTTAGAGGGGTATTTCCACTTCTTAAAAAAATGTATATTTTCTCTTCAGAATCTTTCCCATAGCACATCAGAAAAAAAATTAGTATAGTCAGTTAGCACCATATGTGACATTTGTAGATTTCTAGGACAGGCTTAATCACTGGCTGGAGCTTGGCCTCAGTGTAAGCAGTGGGACTGTTCCATACGTGACATGGATAAAAAAGGTGATCTCACAGCCAGTGAGTTCTGTAACACATAGAAAGAGCAGATGAAAAACTGCTTCAAAATCTAGAATATTTCCAAGTAATTCTCTACCACGTCTTTGTCTGTAAAAACCTGCCATTCTCACTCTTTCCCTGAAAGACTGTAATCAAGAAGTAAAAGCAGGAGGTCCAAAGACAATTCATAACCTAACACAGGGTGGAGAAAGCTGGATCATTTCAGTACTATGTGATTTGTGGGTTTGGGCAAAAGCACCATGAATGCCAGCAGCTCTAAGCAACCTTCGTCTGGAGTAAATCAGTGCAAGTTAAAAAAACAACCAATGGAATTATTCATTTTAACCAGCTCTGCAGGTGACTGTCTCTTACACTTTTTTTAACATCTGCAAGTACCTGAATAATAGTAAGACAGTAAGACTGAAGGGAAGTGGGAAGTAAACACAGTAAAGAGGATTAACAAGGGTTGTTAGGTAAATAAGCAACTGAGATGGGGGAGAGCGGGGCATGCAGTGTGTAATCCTATTTCTGCAGCTCACTGCTGTGTCAATGTCTGCGAGGAGAGTAAGATATTTAYATAAAAGGGAAAAATAAATCCCTGGCTTCCTGTATGAAATTAAGATAACAGAGCCATCTGTCAAACCTCGAAGGGGAAAGCAAAGCTGAGCATCCAGGTCTTTGTGATAAGCAATGTGCCAGCTATTCAGCCTGGCAGTGCGTGTTTCAGAGGGTTTTCCAACATGTGAAAGACATATACTGAGTATCCCTGGAACATCCCTATAGTCTGAGATGACCCATGAGCAGGTTGTTGTGCATGGTAATGTTGTGGTGCTGGTGATGTGGCTCTTTGGCTCTGCTGGATTTCAGGAGGGATGGATACTGTTCTCAGAGGTACTGCAGAGTTTGCTGACAAGGAACCCTCCTGCTAAGTTAGCAGGGAAAGCAGGCTGATGATAGGCAGGTTTTACATGATATGCCTTTTATTCACTGTTCTAACTTTGTGAAGCCACTGTTTTATATATGTGTCTCATAGCTGGAGAGAWGGGTACCATAAATGCCTACATAGACACTTACTTAAATAGGTGCTGAGTTCACCTTCAAATAATAATTAAATGGAAGAAAATATTGTACTGAAACAAAATGACAGGTCATATTTAAACTGTCTTAAAATTCATTGCTCAGGTATTTTTAGGGTGCTTTGCATTCATGTATGATTTATGGTCCCTGTATACTGCAAAGTCTGGTTTCAGAAGCAGGAGCAAGGTTCTGAAATTTGGCTTTGTTTAACAAGGTATTTGCAAGGGGAAGACATTGAGACTTTCTTAAGGAGGCCAAGAAGTGGCAGTGGGGGCTGAGGTGAGGGTGTCCCATCCTGCAGGGATTTATCTCCCTCTAAACAGCCATGGGCCTGCACTTTTCCCCCAGCCCATT